GATTTCATACCAGGTTTCATAGTACTCAAAAATAAGAGTTTTATTTATACACAATCTAGAACAAAAACTACAATGTTTTTATAATTTTTCAATACTTTCAAATTTTTTATTTTTAAGCTTCTCTCATTGTTTTCGTTTCTGGGAGTCATATAGATCATTAGTTTTGATCATTATAACAACTAACAAAGTCTATCAAAGTAATAGATGGATAATTAATCATCCAAGATACAATCTTTTATATATAACAAGGGATACACAATCTAATTATATGTAAGACATGCAATCTGAAATATCTCAAGAGCAATGTAATGTATAATTTGATACACATGTAATTGAAACTTTAATAGTCAACAAAGATACTAGATTAGGATGAAACCTAAAAAAGGGACTATAACTTTCCAAATAATTAATTACCTTATATTTTAAAATGGGCTCATTATTTTTGACACATAAGTAGCCACATACCCAAAGAAATAGTAGGTTTTTTATATTTTAAAATGGGCTCATTATTTTTGATACATAAGTAGCCACATGGACCCAGAGAAATAGTAGGTTTTTATTTGTCGGGGTAAATAGCATGACTCTAATTTTTTAGTCACTCTTTAAGAATTTTTTCATCATGTGCATCATGTGTGTGATGGAGGGATTGCACTTGGCCGATGTTTTTTTTTAATGCTTTGTTTGGTAAGAATGAAGGAAGACCTGTGGAAAGTAAATAGGAAGGAATGAACAAATTTATATTTATTTGTACATATGATAAAAAGAAAGAAATGATAATAAGATAGTGTTATCCTTTTCATCACTCCAAAAATGAGCGGAAGAGATGATGGAAGAAAAGTAAACTATTATAGAAATTTTAAATTAAATGCTAACTTAAATTACACAAATTTTAAATTACAATAATATTGTTTATAAATTACAATTTTATAGATATTATTAGACATAATGAAAAAAATAATTTATAATTTTATTTTCTTTTTCTCCTAAATTTATTCACTTCTCTTCCATTTAACGGAATAAAAAGCACTTTGATGTTCATTCCTAAAGAGGGAGGACAATTGCCCCCTATCTTTTTTTCCTGAAATTATTAAAAAATCTCCCTCCCCCACCCCCTCCTCCGCGCAATATCACGAACAGCACACAAAAGGCTCTGTAATTCACTTGATAGTTCAAGTCATGTTACGACAAAAAAATTAATAATAATAACGCGCGAGTTTTTTAGCTAGGGTAAAAATATAGTAAAATTTAAGTCTCAAATGGCAGGAGTTTTCGTGACAAGCAACGAAGACTTAATATACATATATATAGATACAAACAAAATTCCAAACTCGTTAATTAGCTGAAGGGGTTAGTTGGTGATTAATCCAGGGCAACAAATTCATTCATGCATTTCTTGAGGTCCAACTACTTGTTAGGTAGCATAAAAAAATATATAAAATAAAATTTAAAAAAAAAAAAAAAAAAAACACCTACTTGTTAGGAAAATAGTCTTAATTAGACTCTCAAGGAGAATAATATGAAAAAAAAATAAAAATAAAAAAAAGAAAAAGAAAATGACTCTCAAGAATAACTTCATATGTGGCCCAACACCCCCACTATAGGCCTAACAATATATATATATACTAAAATTTTGCCCAACACCCCCACTATAGGCCTAACAATATATATATATATACTAAAATTTTGAAAAAAATTGTATTGCATTTGAATGCATGAATGAACACTTAAAAGGCATTTGAATGTATGAACTGAATACTTCAAGCTCTGTTTATTTTGATGTAAAATGTTTTTTAATATTTTTTTTTCTTCTGGTATTTGATTGTCGTAAAATATTTTTGAAAAAAAATATATTAATACTCAACATAACTTACTCATTAATTTTCGATAAGTTATTTTACATGTACCGCTTGATATATTCAACCTCAACTTTCGACCTTTGTTAAATAACGAAAAATTATATATAGTATACTTTTTGAAGTTTTCATAATATATTGTAAATTCTAAAGAGGAAAGATGATGATACTCTAAAATCTATATATATATATATATATATGATGATGATGATGATGATGATACTCCACTTTTGTGCACTTACATTTTCTTAAAAAAAGAAAAAGAAAAAAGAAAGGACTTAATTGTACTCTTAAAAAGTATTGTCACACCCTGATATTATCCCTAAAGATTTTCTTACACTCCTTACTCCATTAGGAGTGGACGACTTTTTTATTAATTAATTAATAAAATTAAGTGAAAGACAACTGTATGGTTAAGTTATCAACACATTTGTAAATCTCATCTCCGCTCAAAAAGAGTTCGAGTCTAATGCTTCGTTTGGTTAGAGGATAGAAAAATGGATGGAAATGACAATAGATGGGATGCACGAGGCATTTCTGGGAAGAAGATGTGTCTCTTTCACTTTTTGTTTGGTTGGATAAAATGGGTACGTAACAGAAATGATGGATGTGGTGACATTATTATTTTTTTGTTTGGAAGAAATGATGGATGTGGTGACATTATTATTTTTTTGTTTGGAAGAAAGAGAGAGAGAGTTTTTATATGACATTTACTAATATACCCTCATTATATAAAATTTAAAAAAAAATCCATTCCAAATTATGCAACAAGAAGGTTAAAAATGAAAATTAAAAAACTTGTTGGTTATTATCTTGTTTTCTCTCTCCTCTTCCCCTCAATTTTGGGCAGATAGAAAATTACAAAGGAAGGAGGGACGAAGCATCCCTCCATGCTTCCTCCCTCTTTTCCCTTCTATTCAACCAAACATAAAAACCTTCTTTTATCCCCTCTCAATCCATCCCTCCTCAATCCATCCCTCTAACCAAACATAGAATAAAAGTTGTTAATATTAAGACCATGATGCAGTGATATCCCTTCTCCTTCAAAGAAGGTTGGAGTCTCTTCAAGAGTACCTTGAGTTTTGCTAAAAAAATAAAAATTAATAAATAAAAAAGAAAGAAATTGTAACTCTTATCCAACAAGGAATTACGTTTGAGACTCTATAAATAAATACCTATACTATTCAGACTTGTGAGATTGAGTTAGATGTAATCCTAATTCTATAATGGAGAGTGGTAGCCCTAATTCTATAGTGGAGGGCAACCTTAGGAGGGAGTTTATGGGTATAGGTAGTTTATAGGTTGTAGACCGATGCAAGGGAGTTGATGGGTAGATGTATTTTATGGGTTGGTAGGAACACAGATAATGAGAGAGAGTCTCATGGAATACTTAGAGAAGAACTTTGGGGCAAGATTTTGTACATTGCTCCGGTGTTAAAAATCTCTAATGTTATAATATCTCTACATAATCATAATGAATATCTTCTCATTCGTGACATAGGTCGAGTTTGATTGAACCTATGTTTTTTTGTTTGTGATCGATTTATTTCTTCTTATTGGATCTCCATATTCTTGCACTTCCATTGTCGCTTCAAATTCAAGGCATGCAAATATTAGTATATATAACAATCTAAAGAGACACAAGACATGATACAAAATGGATATTTCAACACTTCAAATTTAGGCCATCAACATAATCATGTGTAATGCCATATATATATATATATAGAAATATTAAGACGGGAACACTCAACTTTTTCTTTTCCTTTGGGAAGAAAGATGTCATACCATTTCAACAAATGCTCATTAATATAGTTTCAAATTTTCTTATAGAAAAAAGTTGAATGTGTTTGTTATATAAGACTATTAGAAATGTCTAAAATGTATCGGCCTAAGTGTGTGGAATGGTTGGTAAAGTGTCAACCGGTGTTTGCCGAGTATTTAAAACAATTAAAATAAGAGAAAAATCATAATTAAAATAACTTCATTACCTTGTAATTCATCACATCACTCCCCATTCCATTCGTTTGCAGTTAAAAAGTAACAAGACACTAGAAAGTGTCTGTCATATGCCAACTCTTAAAATATTATATGACCAAAATGCCCTTTTAAAATAACTCGTTCAACTTTAAAATTTATTAAGGATTAAAATCATAAAAACCCCCTATATTATCCAACTTGATCACATAACTCCCTATACTACTAACCAATAACCCTCAGAATTAACAAAAATGGTCATTTTACCCTCAATATGTGGCACAGCTATCAACTAACATGTGAAATGATAAAATTGACCTCGGTGATTTAATAATTAAAAAAGTGAATAAGTTATTTTAACATGATAGTTATGCCCTTCTTGGGGTCCACTACAAATGAAAGATATTAGAGCTGGTAATCTATGGCTGATATTTGTAGTAATAGGAATACCTATGAAACTTAAGTTGTTGTTGTTAGTTGAATAATGGCATATACCGTCTAAACAAGTTAGGGTAATTTGGGGCTTTGGATGAAGGTTGCAGAGCCAAGACTTGATGTCAATGGAAGAGGTGTATGTGGAAAAGACGACTTGGAGTTGGCATTAAGTGGTTAGAAGAACATTTTGGTCATATAATATTTTAAAAGTTGGCACACGTGCTATTGTTCCGTTAGTTTAACCGCAAACAAATAAATTGAGGATGATATGATGAAATTTTTAAAAAACAATGGAGTTTTAAGAGGTTTTTTTAGTACAGAAAATTATATGAACAATTATAAAATAAAATCAGGACTTCAAGATAAAATGACCACTTTTGCTAAGATTATTTGTTAATATAGGAAATTATATAATATTTTTTTAATAGTATTGAAATATTATGATAACGATTTTAATCCTTAAATTAAATTTTAAATTATTGACGTGAAGTATCCAATTTGTTTCACAAAAAAAAAAAAAAATTAAATAAAGTAAGTTTTTAAATCATCACCTACCAAAGTTGAAAGATGCGGGTACGATGCCGTTCCGCCTTTGCTACAGAACTTACCGTTGAATTTAAGACTGGGGAACGGTTTCGTAAATTGGGCGGAAGAGGAGGACAGATGCCACGCGGCGCCTTCTGGTGGGTTCTCTCAAGAAAATAGACGTTGGACTTACGGCAACATTTATGGGGAGGAGTGAGAGAGAGATCGAGAGAGTCCATCCATCAAAATTCAATACGTGGAGTTAGTGAGTGACGAATTTTCTCTCATTTCATTTATTCTTTCTTTCGTAAATAGCCGCTTCTTCTTCTCCTTCCCTGTTTCTCTCTCACCTCTCTCTCTAACATTTCCGTTTAACTTTTAATTCTTCAACTTTGAAAAAGGAAAGAGTGGAGCTCTCTCCCCGTAGGTACGTTTTTGAGAATCATTTTCTCTTTATTTTTCATTTTGTTTTCTTTTCTGTTCCAGCTGCTTGTGAATAATTTATAATTTAGTCATTAATTTTGATCTGCTTTTCAAGAGTTGGATGAGGTTTGATTTCGATCTAGTGTGTTGTTTTCTTTTTTTGGGTTAAATAGGTAGAGAAATAGAGTTTTGAAATGGCTGTTGAATCTTTGCTCTTATTCGAATGAGCAACATTCTAGCACTAATTTTCATAAATAAAATACAGATTTACGACATTTTCATGGTTTTGCTGCAAGAATTTGGATTTGTTGATGCTTCAAACTTTTGTGGTTTCCTAATTATGAAGTTTACTCTCTTTTTATTTATTTTTTACTTATTTTTTATTTATTGGGCATGGAAGAATGAAGATACGTAGATAACTTCTTGTTGGGACAAATTAGAAAAATATTTAGTAGTTAAAGAGTTACTACTATTTTGACTTTAAGCTCAAGGATTAGAGAGAGAAATCTGACCAAATTTTCCAATTGATGCAACAGAAGGAAGCAGAGGTGCTTGTGATGAGTATCCCATTCCAATTTAGCAATGAGGGGACCTGGGATGATGAGTCCTTTGCAGATGGGATGTTTGATATTTTAGCCAGGAGATAGATTACCTACCCTGGTTGGGGATATTGGAATTGTTAGTGCCTCAAATGGCTGTTGCTCGTTTACACAATGTTTCTGTTCTTGATTCTTCTTTTCTTATGGAATCTCCGTCTCCATTATCAAGGCATAGGAATAACCAAGATAGGCCAAGCACCCGGGCATCCTCTCTCCTGCAAATGTGGCGGGAGCTTGAGGGTGAACACGTGGTGGTGACTCGTTATCCTCAAGTGAGAGTTGGAGACAGATTGCAGCAGCAGAGGATTGACCGATATTTATCAGAAGGAGGGGGGCAACGGAGTGATAATGAGGATAGCTTGGAGGTTGCCAGTGAGGTTGAGAACGAGTGTGGAACATGGACTCGAGGCCAGATAAATTCTCAGACTGAACGTGGAGACACTATGAGTTTTAGCTCAGACCATTCTACTGAAATTGGGGAAGTTGAAAGGGAGAGGGTGAGACATATTTTTCAGGAATGGATGAACAGTGGAGAAAGGGGCCAAGGATCTAATGTTTCCCATATGAACAACTGTTCAAGGGAACAATGCCTTGGTGAAAATGAGCGCGGAAGGGTGCGAATCATAAGGGAATGGGTTCAAATGACTAGCCAACAGAGAGGCATTTGTGGTGCCCACATAGAAGAACACTCTGCTGAAATTGGTTCTCAAACTGAACAAATTCACAATGGTTTGATTGGTAACCATTGTGAAGTTGGTGCACGGAGGGCTATTCGCAGATTATGCGGCAGACAGGCTCTTCTTGATTTGCTTGTGAGGGCTGAGAGGGAAAGGCAAAGAGAACTTCAGGCTTTGCTGGTGCATCGACCTGTCTCTGATTTTGCTCACCGCAATCGCATCCAGGTTAGTTGTTTCTCAAAGTATATTTGTTCTTTTTATATTTCTCAGCTCTCTCCTTTTTTGGCTCTGATACTGTATGTAGTCTTATTATATCTGTCCCTTTTGTATCTGTCAATAACAACAGAAGCAGACCCTTATATTTCAACTACTTCAGATCTGGTGCACTAGTGTCACTTTTCCATTCAGATGGTCTTACTATCTATATAGATGTTAAATCTACGAATGGTATTAGTGTAACGTGGGTATGAAATATTTTTAAGTTGATATCTGTCGTGACCCAAATCCATAGGACCTGAATTGTGAATGGGAAATGGAATCAAACTGGGCTCCTCCCCCCGAACACTATTGACAAACCGGGGGTAAAATGGTCATTTATCTGCATAATAATCATTTAGTTACTCCATTTGACCTGTTTTGATACTTAGAGCTGTGGAGGACCTAGGGGGAGTTCATTCAAATGTCCATACCTAGTTCAAAACTTCCTTCAAACATCATATACCATGCTAAGGACATAAAACTGAGACATACAAAAGATGGTTGGCCTACAAGGCCTTGGATACATAAGTTACATGCCATAACTCAAAAAATATATACAAGTGTCATTATGTGAACATGGAACCCAAGATTTTATATGCATGGCATCAGAATACATGCTGCAACTCCTATACAATCAAGTCCACCAAGAAAGTAGCAGCTAGCATGATAAAAAAAAATCCCAAGCTCCACATATGCAACCTCTTGGTTGAGATCAAGGAATCTCTCCCTCCACATGTCCTTCACCTGAAATAGTCAACAAGTGAGCTTACATTGCTCAGCAGGAAGTGACTTACTAACAATTCCTAAAGCCACATAAGTCATGCTCACATAGCACATAGTTTAAACAAGAAATAGAGAATCATGCTTGCACTTAAAACATGCATCATTAAGTTTCTAGTAATACTACCAAGCTAAGTTCATATGTAACACAACATGAGTTAGGGGAGGCTAACATGAGAAACATCATTTCCATCACATATCAAATGCAAAGCTATGCATTATGGTTCTCACACACATGGACTCTCATATAACCCACTCATGTAGTCCAAAAAACCAACTCAAACACATGGATTGGTTCACAACCGAATATGGGGTACCTCTCCATATCCCTACCCTCACTTCGCGGGTTACTAGCCCACGACACCCGCTTGGCTAAGTTTTGGGATTTTCAACCCTATTTCCACACAATCAATCCCTTTTTGGAAACATTTTCCACAAACTTGGGAAAATTAATGCCACAAACTTTGGAAATTCAATACTCACAGTTGCATTCCACACACACACACCCTATGAAATGCAAGATGCAATGATGAAGGCAATTCAACATCTTAGTCCTTTCTGGTGATATTTTTTTCATCTAAGATACATTGATAATTCATGCTTGACAAATAGCAAGATTAATCTCCAACTAGACATTCTAATAAACATGTGGCATGCTATTGAACATGTAAGCCCAAATCAATCAACACATGTTTAAGGATAGGCTAGGAATCCCAATATAGTTATTTCCATGAACTAATATATACATATAGAGTAGGTTAAGTTTCTCACATGCTGCAAGTACACCTTCTATAATTCAATTAAAGTTCCAAGGAGTGGTAATTTACTAATTTGTCAATTAACTCAACATCAATCAAGTTTAGGCTATCAATCACTCATTTGGCAGCTTGGACATAACTACGATTTAGCATGCTATAAGTCAATTTAGACTTTAAGAAAATACACTTCATCAATTAGTAAGGTAGATAATCTAAGCTTAAAGTAGCAAACATACACTTCATCAATTAGTAAGGCAATAGATAATCTAAGCTAAAAGTAGCAACATATAAGCATGCTAGTACACAATTTGCACTAAATTAACTTACTAGAACATGCTATAGCTCAAGTGAAACCAAAAGAAGAGGCGATTCATCAAGTTACATCATGTAAAGCCAAGATTACATACACTTTAGCAATTTGCACAATGTTGAAAGCTATAAAAAAGTTGAAGAGAGAAATTAAAAATGAAGAACACAACACACAAAGCCCAAAGGGGCTACGTCACTTTTGTTATATTCTCTCTTATTCTTTGTATACAATGATCACCTCTATTTATAGGTAAAAGAATACAAGTGATAAATATTGAAAATACATTGATAGAGGATTCTTAACATCAATCCCATATATCACTCCAGTCAATACACTTCATCAATTAGTAAGGTAGATAATCTAAGCTTAAAGTAGCAAACATACACTTCATCAATTAGTAAGGCAATAGATAATCTAAGCTAAAAGTAGCAACATATAAGCATGCTAGTACACAATTTGCACTAAATTAACTTACTAGAACATGCTATAGCTCAAGTGAAACCAAAAGAAGAGGCGATTCATCAAGTTACATCATGTAAAGCCAAGATTACATACACTTTAGCAATTTGCACAATGTTGAAAGATGTAAAAAAGTTGAAGAGAGAAATTAAAAATGAAGAACACAACACACAAAGCCCAAAGGGGCTATGTCACTTTTGTTATATTCTCTCTTATTCTTTGTATACAATGATCACCTCTATTTATAGGTAAAGAATACAAGTGATAAATATTGAAAATACATTGATAGAGGATTCTTAACATCAATCCCATATATCACTCCAGTCAATATTCTATCATAAGCAAATCACTCATATGATATTCTCATATTGATATTCTGTCAATGAGTAATTTAAGGGTTCCTATAATAATATTCTCCAACACCCCCTCTTAAGTTGGTATACTGAGATTTTAACTCAAGTGTCCAACTTGAAACTAAATATGAATTCGAGATTCTAAGACGAGTTAACCCGAAGATCCGAGTCAAGGAGTAATTTAAGGGTTCTTATAATAATATTCTCCAACACACAAGATATAATTACAATAGCACGCTAAAACAAGGGAAACACACACAATCACTTGCATAGTCAAAGGAACGCATTAGTTAGACACCCCTACTTACAATAGCATGCTAAAACAAGGGAAAAACACACAATCACTTGCATAGTTAAAGGAACTCATTAGTTAGACACCCCTACCTCAATATGGATGAAAAACCCAAATTCCCCAAATGTGAAAGTGCACCAAATTGGATTTTAAAACCATCGGAATGCAGCCCTTGAGGTGATGTTCAAGTTTGTCAACTAGAACACATCCAAATTCCCAAAGGATGACGGTGAAATGTGAGCTCAATTTTGTGGATCTATGGAGGAAGGAGAAAAGAAGAAGAAGAATTGAGGGGGAAGAGGTATCGGCTGGCAGCAAAACAAAGGAAGAATGATCCCTTTGTCCCCCCCACTCCTTATATATATGATAATCAAGTGATAGTGGGGATTGGGTCCCACTCTCCGCTACATTCACTAAATGACTACTATGTCGCCTCACTAGTAAAACACATGTACAAACAATTATAAGCCACGTGAAAATAAACTAAGTGCCACCATGAAATAATAAAGAATGTAAATGATGTCAAAGAAATTCTTGAACATGAAACTCAACCCCGGCCCACGCGGGGACTTCTCGGGCCCACTAACCCGAAGCGACTACAATGACACTAATGGCTTTTCTAAGAGTCTAAGACTCGAAGAAATGGCTAAAAGGAATCCTAGAACCCCATGGAACGGATCCCCACACATAAAAATAAACAAGGCACGCAAAACGAAAACGGTAAAAAGGAAAAAAATAAACTTGGTCCTCACAATATACTTTTGGATCCATCAGGATAGGTTCGTGAAATGGTTTTGCTTGTGTCAAGTGATAGTTTTATGGGATCGATGTATAATTAACTTGGGCTGGTTAACTAGAATGCCATAATAAATTAAATAAATTCAATGTAAGATGTGTAATATGGGATATTTGTATATATCCCCATGGAACCATCAGAATTGATCATAGTTAAAATGGTTTTTTTTGTTTTTGATAAGTTATAGTCTAGTGGGATTGTTGCATACTTATTTTTACAGTTTTTAGGTAGAATCGTACAATAAATTAGATAAACTTTATGGGATCGATGTAGAATTAACTTGGGCTGGTTAACTAGAATGCTATAATAAATTAAATAAATTCAATGTAAGATGTGTAATATGGGATATTTGTATATATCCCCATGGAACCATCAGAATTGGTCATAGTTAAAATGATTTTTTTGTTTATGATAAGTTATAGTCTAGTGGCATTGTTGCATACTTATTTTTACAGTTTTTAGGTAGAATCGTACAATAAATTAGATAAACTACATGTAAGATTGAGCATTTTTTTTTCCTAGTTGGGACTCACACACGCCCGTCCAAGGTATTGTTTGCACCTAGTAGGAATCGATCCTAAGACATGATGATTCATAAGGCACCAGGGCCAAAGTCTTTTCCAACTAGGCCAACCCTTTGGGGTATTGAACATTTGTTAGTTTACATGTAAGATTGGACATTTGTTAGTTTATGTTTAATGCGTATTCTATATTTCTTTAAGATAATAGTCCCAGGCTTCCGTTACAATGTTTAAAGTTAAGGCCTATTTAATAATTCGTGGTCTGCTATAAAAAAACATTTCTTTCTTCTTTGTTTTTTCATATTTATTTTTTTAGCTTTCAGGCCTAGCTTGCTTTATTGAATATATCTAGCAAAGTACTTTAGTAGGCACTTCTTTGAATAAGAAATGTAAGTTCATGTTAGGTAAAAAAAAAAGGTGGTCTTTTTGTTCAATCTCTTGTTGGCAGAGAATACAAAATTTTCAAAGCAAACTCTTTTTACTAATGTTATAAAAGAAGACTTAACTAAAAGAAGTGAACGAGAGCAAAAATCTTTTGTTATTGTTGAACTATCTGTATTATTATTATTTTTATTTTTATTAGCTGTTTTCAGCCTTTTATTAGGTGTTTTATGTAAGATCCCTATTATCATGGGACCACGTAGATAAGATCTCCGTAAACATGGGATTATATAGATAAGATCCCCATAATCATGAGA